AAGGTTTTCAATAGGACTCCACAGTAATGGCAAGAACAGTTGCTTATCCGAGCAAGGACAGTGCAAAATGTTCCGCAGATACTGTATATCTGTCTGTCTGTCTGTCTGTCTGTCTGTCTGTTCTGTCTGTCTATCTGTCTACACAATGACATTACATGGATTGGGTGCCGTTAAGTAGGAGACGTAGCGTCAGCAGTCCCCATTCGCCACATTAACATGGCACTTTTAATACGCGACCAAAATATAATGTCCCTACAAACTGTCGCGCGTTTGCACCGCGACTTGCGGCGGCAATTTCGCGCGATACGCTCTGCTTTATCCGAACTTGGCGTCATTCCCATAGTAATCACTATGACTGGGGAGGCTGCTATACGGGCTATACGGGACACCTCTATTTTTTAATCAACTCACGGAAGGTATTCAGAAATATCAGATCAGTTGGATCGATACAGAATGCTTGTAGTTGTCGGTAGATTTCATGAATTGTTGGCTGATCCATGTGGTCCTCATCAGACCACACGTAGACCCTAAGAATCGGATTTCGTTCTTCAAATTCTCTTCTATTTGTCAATCATAACTATTTTCTAAGAATAATTATGGAATTATTTCTCTTCAGACCTCCATGAATCACATGCTCCGTCCTCACCAATCAAATTACAATGCATCGAAATGTATTCATCACCATTCTCCCATATGACTGTACCGGACCCTGGAACGGGCTGCAATGAGGTTTGTCTTCACATTCAAAAAATAATCAAATCAAATAAAGTATTGATGCACATACAATCAATATTGGTTTCGTTTCCATCAAGCCGAGTATAATTGGATATCATCTTAAGAGATGATTCACCGTTGAAGCTTTGATGAAGCTGAGTTTTGAAGCAGATGTTTTGCCTGCAAAATCAAAGTAAAGACGGCGTTCGTAAGACGACTACAAAGGAATGTAAAGCATCTTGTGTGTCAGTGTAGTAATGGATAAAGTTTTTGACGGTAAACAATCCCCTTTTGAGATGCGCCCCCACACTTGGCTTCAAATGTGGTGGCCAGCCAATGTACAAGTCAGGCGTTAATCCTCCCAGAAGGTTTTGGGGCCAATAAACTTACCCCGGAGACGAAACTCTTAGTTGGCCTAGGCGAACATCGATTCAGGGTGTCAGTGGGGGTGTAAAGACTTCATTGTTTTCAACCCGTCTCAGCCTACTGCTTCGATTGGTAGCTACAAAACAGGTACGGTTCCCCTCAAAGTTAAGGCAGAGGCCAATTACGCGTTTATACTACTTCAGTTCTGGATCCAAGTCGGGCTATCCTTTTTTAGCGTACTTCTTACGACTTCGGAGCTACTAAAAAAAAAGTTCGGCAAAAGTTCTACAGTAGTTATAAACCCTTTGAAGCTTAGCATTAACTATTTTTTGTAATTCATAAGAACTCTCAAATCCCTACCGTATCCACTCGCAAGTGGCAGTTGTTTTATTTACATAAATGCAACTGATATGAGCGATTTGTTCGTTAGACAACGCTGAATCGATATAGGCCGTCACCGTAAGCACACGAGGTTCATCCTGTAATGAAAACTTTTTCCGACGAGTACTAAAAGTAGTATTCGGTAATCTGCCTGCCTACAGGTGGTGGTCATAATCTAAGAATAAAAGCTCAAAATGTCATGAAAGCTAACTTTCCCGTGTTTCATAATATTTAAGGCTTTTTTAGTACCATTCATGTATATTTTTGATTAATTTTCGATTCAAAAATTGAAACTTACGAAGAAACTGCGAATATTTGTGATTGGTGACTGTTGATTTTCCACCTGACATTCAACGTCTACAAATTCGTTATTGTCATCAATTCGAGCATGGATGAGCTTTTGATCTTCATCGACCACTTCATCACCGCAAGCAGCTTAAATTAAATGCATTGAGGAAGAAGGCCCACCAGTTTTTGAAAGATACCAGTCACGTAGAGAAAGCTCCGCCCATTCCCACTCATGCCACGCCCACTAAACTTGGCTTATTTTCATTTCTATTGTAGGTTGACTGATCTTTATGAGGCTTGTCCAAAACTAGAGATCCTCTCGTTGAACAATTTCTCTTGAATGTAAGTCTCATGAGTTGCTTCAACCATGCTTTTGTCGGCTCATGCAACTTGCTCAACAATAACGTGCTACTTCTGCTCCGTTCCCTCCAAGTTGCCCTTCTCCTTCCACTCAGAACAGCGTTAAACATAAATCTCAAGCAGTAAAGGTCAAACAGACGGGACTCACTGTATGTGTCAAGAGTCTTGAACTGTAGTATATCGATACAAAGAGCGTCTTCGATAAGTTTTGCAGACTTGAACAACTGAAAGCTTCATGCCTATTATCGAGATCACCAATCTTTCTACACTCGAACAAACCTGGAGTGTTTGAGGGTGTCGAGAATTGCTCATTATCATAACTAATTCCTCATTTGGGAGGCAGTTACCTGAAAACGTCAAGATTAGTTGAACATTGACCGTAGGTAACATTGTTACAACAAAGTCCGATTGCTGTCGAGCAGCAGCGATAAGCTTGCAAACGACAGTAATGGTAAACGGTTGGTAAAACAGAAAAAATGTGACTACCTAGTAAGTGTTGTGATCTTATTTGGTAGGATTTTTGGGTTACACCATGTAAACGAGTGGCCACAGAGAGAGTTCCTGTGCTCTTCGTCCCAAACAGAATTTGACTTGTCATTTCAGGAGTGGGACTCTCATTTGCCTACGGTAGCGTANCTCACCGTTCTGTGCTACACCTATCAAATTACTGCTATGAGAAATTATTTTTTCCTTCGCTGTGGACTGTATGCTGAATCGCTGCATGAAGTTTAAAAAAATATGGTTTAATTGTAAAATAATAATCATATTTATGTTTATGATATTCGAAATTTATCAATATTCATAAGATCACAGTTCGATGTATTCTTTTTTGTCCCTAGAAAAGTTCTTTTTGGAAAGGAATGTTTTGGAACAAACATTTTACAAACGAAAATTACAACTCTGTGAAGCGTTACCGTATCCGTCGTCCTGGGAGCATCCATAGATGACCATATTCATTTCTTCATTTTGTTCTCCAGAGTAGTCATGGTAGATACCACGCAAGCCCACTGAATCATAAGCCGTCTATTATACTTGGACAATCTATACTATTACTATTACTATTACTATTACTATTACTATACTGGTGATACTATTACTTGAATTCAAACTTTTCCAAATTAAAAAAATAAAACTTTCGCGAAATGGTAGCATACTTGAAAACAAATGGCCGTTTTCTGTGCGTAATTCCATAAAGTAGCCGTGGTCTCTCTTGGTCCAAACGCCAAATAATGGAGGCATACAGGTTCCATCTCTGCACAAGATTCCATCAGTTAAAAAATTATGTAAATAAATATTCTATATATCAAGTACATCTCATATTTTTTCTCGTTAAGTATTAGGCCTTGTCTTCTTCAGGTATTCACGAGAATTCCTAATTGCTATGCTCATTTTGGTATCAATAAGATCTCTCTCGTCAATGAACAAAGGAAAATTAAATGAACTAAAAAATGAATGGAGAGACTAGATGTCAACCAAAATATAAATTTTGATTGGATTGATTGAATTGAATTAATGAACCATTGAACTTATTGTTGAGGCTCAGTGTATGAAAAGACGGCCATAGCCTTCTCATTTGTACACGGCATCGTTATGATTTCAAGCTTACGCGCTGCGTACGCGCGCTTGATTGGAAGTATCTTGGTCGACGCCAATTAGATCCATCTCTAATTTCTAATAGGTTTCGTTCTTCATTATTCGAAACCTGTCCGGCAACTATTTCATCGTAATTTTTCAAAAAATCTCCTCTTCTGGAGTTTCAGACCGAAATATCTATTAATTATTGAAATTCGAAAAAAGCAAAAACTGATGAAAAGATTATTTGAAATTATTTTCTGAACATACATTGAATGATATTCGGTCATATTCAGTCGTTCTTCACCATCCATCTGTAGTCGAATCATGGATGAATTCACATTGGCCGGCAGAAATGAACGTGACGACGGCGCTTTCCTCGCTATCACGAACCATGAGCCATTGTACTGGAACAAGAGCAAGGTTTGTAAGCTTTGTACTAACTGAAGTGGAGGGGCTACATTTAGTCAGTAGGGGCAGCTGCAAATTCCCGAAATCCTTGAAACTCCCTACATTTGCTTCTTTTCTCAATTACCCGAAAGGAAAATCTGTATCATATTCCTATGATACCGAGTAGAGGGTCTATAGGGAGGCTAAATCATTCAATTCGAAGTAATCCATAGAAAGTATTCATGGAGGTATTCCTGAGTCGTGTAAATATTCGAATGTATTTTCCAAAATCGTTGAGGACCTGGCTCAACCAAGGGACTAACCGACTTACCGTTACAGAAGGCCCTCATCCAAAATTTATGGGTATTCAACTACCAGAGACCCGATATCCTCGAAACTTTTCTGTAACACTAACACCTCACCTTCTTGACCTCGAAAGTTCATAAAGGACCAGATGAAAGGGCAGAGATGCTTGGATGTAGGAAAATTCCTCTCCATACCTGGGATGAGCATTACCCACTCAACAATTCTTCCTGGTAGAGTCATTGTGAAGGTTGATCACAGGACGATAAAGCTTGACTGATTCCCAACATCAGCCAGGATATTCACTTTAAGGGATACTGCACCCAAAAGGTATCGAAAGATGAACTTCGATCGAGATTGAAATGCAGAAGATGAGAATCCTTAGTTTACCAAAATGCTGTCTACATTACCTTTATTTGTGATTCTTGTATAGTAAAATGATGAAAATGTAAATTACTTGTGCAGGTTGCAGTACTGGATAAGAAAGTTGTACACGGCATTCTGCAGAACTCTGTTCTGCCAAGATCAAAATGGCAGCTGAAATGAATAGGATTGAGAGGAGAGCCGGCAGTGGACGCATATCTCACATCAATCGCTCACTACTCCGTCCAGCTCCATCAATCGTCTTCCGGGCATCAATCGATCTCCTGACACGTGAGCTACACAATCAGCTGGACACAATGGCGAGATATTCGCCGATTGGATTATGGGCTCAACACCTGGAGGAAGTCTTAAGCATTTCCATTATGTTCTCCGTTCACTTACCGGAACATTGCTTCCAGTAGCCTTCAATAAGTAACTAAATGATGCTTGAGGTAAGAGATCTTCCTACGAATCAGCGTGTCTCACGAAAACATAGTATGCACTTTAAGAAATTATTCTGTTGTCATTCATCTACTCTGTCGTCGAAGTACATGAGAGACATTGACAAGGTTTGAAGTCAGAGCCTCGTTAGCTCAGTTGGTAGAGCGTTAGACTTTTAATCTAACGGTCAGGGGTTCGAGTCCCCTACGGGGCTTTACTTTTGCTGCCTTCGTCATGCCGTAATGAATCATGTAGGAGCCTATTTTGCACAAAACTGTGAGTGGGCCAGTTAAGTAGTTTTGTCAGGGCTTGTTATAGTTATTAAAAGTCTGCTCCGCTTCAAAACTCCGATTTATCACCAAAAAGAAAGAGTGCAATCCACATAGTTTTCGTCATAATTAACAAACATATGTGAGGACGAATACATTAAATCAACATCAATTAGGAATTCAAAGAAGATAGGCGTCAGAAAAGTTTGAGTCCTTTGAGAGCATTCTTGACTTGTTCCTTTGGGTACGGTTTCAAAGCAATGCATACAGACTGGCCATCTTCAACCCAAACCTGAACGAGGAAAGCGGCTGAGTGTGTGAAGATATCTACTAAATGTGTTAGATTATATGGATGTTTGACACTGCGCTATAAAGTCATTTTCCTTTGTCTGGTAGATATTGTATGGCGAAACATTAAAAACATTACATAAGTTTCGAATAGCTTAGCCCTAATGAGCTGGGTGCAGGCTCCGCCTATAAAGGCGCGCGCCCCACCCATCCTGTATATTACTGCTTTTTTTCTACCCTAGTTGTTCGTAGAGCGGAAAAATCGAAGCGCAGACTTTTTAATACACGCAGAGACAAACTCAGCGAGTGATATATTCAATATCACACTGAGAAAACAGATGCGATTGGCTAGATGGAACGAAGTATTCAGTGGCACTCACTTTATGATCCACTTCCCTTCCTTTTAATCGCTCATGTACTTTGATCAACTCATCCTCCGAATCAACCTTAACATAGCGACTTCTGCTAATATGAATCCCAGCCAATTGAATGAGTAATTACTAACCAAACGTACCCCTAAAGTGATTTTATGCATCGAATCCAATTCTTTTGTATATTCCTCCGTATTGGGGTCATTTCTGAAATGAACCCTGAGATAACCGAAAAAGCTTGGGTGCGCGCCACGAGCCAGGTTAATCGTAACTAATCGAGGAACTAGAAAGGTATAGATTCTATGCATAATATCACCCACCTGAATAACCACATTGCAGCTGAGGCCGCATGAGCTGCCTGTGTGCAAACCGCACCCATTGGCCAACCCAGCGATGACATAAGATCTCGTCGAAGAATCAGGTACATCACATAACAAGAGGGCGACGTCATAGTGCTGAGGGCACAAATGTTTCTGAAAAGGTAAGAATTAAATGAATTGATTAAACTTGAATTATGTGAATTATCAGCCGCCGCACTATACGCTTTCACCCTTACTGAAATAATCTGCAAAGGTTTCAAGAGAAATTTGCCAATGTTGAATTGAGAAGCCATGTGGTTAATTAAATCAGTTAATGAATATGCGAGGATATGAATAGTCTGTGTTTACTAGTCGAATTTTAACGTGCAAGACATATAAAATTGGAAGCATCCGCATAATGACATCGAGGATACATTTGAATTCAATTCTCTCAAGGGAATGCGGCCAAAACGCGGCTTTGCACCACAAAGATCTTCAAATAAAATCAATCGGAATTGGATAAAAACTCTACGATTCAGATCGTTTACATGCACACAAAGAAAAAGGCACATCAAATGATTTATTATGCACTCATTGAGTTTAATGTTCATCAATTATGATCCAAGTCGTACAAATATAACAAAATAAAAACTGACAGCCTTGAACATTGCACCGGTCAGCGAAGATGTGAGAAAAAGGTAAAACACCAATACAAAAACAAAAATCCAAACTAGTGTAGATTTCAACGAGTTGCAGCTATCTACTTCAGCGAGTCCAGAAAGGCTTCACAACATCGGACACACTGATGGTAAACCTGAAGCTTGAAGGTGAAAAAGGAGTAAAGAAAATCGAAAAAAACGACGATAGCTTCCCTAAAGTTGTGAAATGTAGATACCACTGGCCTGCTCAAACATTGCTTCTCCGGGTTCGTAATAAGGATCGGGAACGATCCGATTCCCTTCAGGGTCAAACTCTCCTAGCAGTTGTATTTTAGCCTTCGATTCCGTTTGTTTCTCCAAGTCTTTAAGATCACTGTAAAAATGCAAAAATAGACAAAGGAGGCTCTTTACAGAAAAAACTAACCTTATGTTGCTTTCATCCATCCCAAAAATATAATCAAATTCACGTAAATCAGCAGTACTAGTCTGAAAATGTTGACATAGCACTTTGAACAGACTACTGCACTCAATTTAGTGACCACGTACCACTCTGGCTCTATGCTCATAATCGGTAATTCCAAACTTCTTTAGGGTACTAAGAGCGCGGCGATCGGGAGGCTTGCCAGTGTGGAACCCGATTATAGCGGAGCTCTCCACTACCCATCTAAAAATTTCGTGTATTCTGCTTACAATCGCGGCTCCATAGGAGAAATAAAAGAGTAAAGCACAGCTCAACACAGTTTTGAAGAAAAAGTTGACAAACTTACTCATCTTGAATACCTCTTTTCTTAATAATATCCAGAAAAACCGCTTCGGCTATGGGAGAACGACAAATATTTCCTGAAAATGCACAATATCAGCCTTCAGCGTTGGAAGATGAGGACTAAAATATGTAGCAGTGAAGATGCTTGTTGAATAAAAAAATGCAAGGTGAATAGATAAATCCATAAAATGGTAAGGACCACTGTACCTACCTAGGCACACGAAGAGCACACTCTTTTTCTGTACCATTGCTGTGTTCGAGACCTTTCCCTGGAATCATGTAATCGCTAGTATCGTGTCTGCATAAAATTAAGGAAAAAAAGACAAGAAGAAAGATACGGCAAACCCAGTAATTGCTTATAAAGGCAGTAGCTATAACTTCACCATCATTTTGTTCCTTTACGACAAGAATAAAAAAATAATATGCACAAACCAGTAACAAGCCACCAATCACACCTATGAACAGGAGGACACCCTAAGTCAGAAGAAAAAAACTAGTCAGTTGTAATGTTATGTCAATTTTTAAAAGGTTTACTGTAGCCCGCACAACTGCGGTACGCAGTTGTCCAACGGGCAAAATCACTTATTCGACGCCACGCCCTCTTTTTTAGTTTTGTTCTATTTCAGTACCTTTTCATTAATCTATTGTGCTCCACTGGCTAAATCTTTGAATACCTCATTTTGTTCGGCTGAGCAGTATAGTTTCGTTCTGGAACGCCAGTTCCTGAGTGTATTTCATAGTGAAAACGATGTTTATTAGGTGTTCTGATCGACACTTGCATTTTTTAGTCACATGAACAGAAACATGAATCTAAACTGAGGTTTCGAGCTCGAGTAGAGAAAAGGGCCATCGGGTCAGGTAACGACGGCGCTAAAAATGTATATTACCCCTCCTTATAGACAAANAAACTTCTTTAACGGAATCGTTTTTACTCTTTGATACTGTGAGTGCTACAAGTACGAGTGGATTTCTGTGAAGAGCATCCACATTTCCATCGAAAATCGCTCACGTTGTTGTTTGTATGCTTATCGATCTCTACTATTGAGTGGGTGCGCTTGATACACCAACTTATAGGATGTTACCCTCATGTCGGAACTTGCTCAGCGGAACGATGCGTCTTGCTGAACAATCATCCCGAACGATAGCTCGTATACCACATTATGAACACCACATAAGATTTAGCCCTAAGGATGGTAGAAAACGGCCTTGTCAGGATGTATTGGATAGGTAAGTGAGCTAGTGACTCAATAATATATCTTACTTGATATTCTGTACAGGCTGCCTCTAATTTGATGTTCAGGTTTAAACGTCTTGGTAACGGAATGTGGATTCGTGCACACCCTGGTAAAAATAAACTCCGATATGCAAAGGACGATAAATTCCAAGAGACCAGTCTATACCTCGAAACTTGTACAGAGGTAGAGCTTCCTGTTCAACCGTGCTTCTACTTTTGAAATTCCATTATTGTTCTCTACTCAGTAGGATCATCATACTTATAACCCGTCGCCTCTCCTTCGTTTTACTACCTAAGGGTGAATAAAATACCGATTCATTTCATTTGAGCTGTAACATGAGCGAGTAGACTATATGAAATCGCCTTTGGTGGACGGTTCGGTGGTTGTTCGTAATAGAAAATTACTTTAAGCTTGGCTTATACTTTTTTGGTGAAAGTGTAGTTGGGGGGTGCCTGGCCCTTTTGTGCTCTGCGTCTCTTCATTTCCTACCCCATCTAATCATCTCACCCATCCCGGAGCTCCTCCCCTTCGAAAAGTTAGGGAAGGAGCTCCGGGGTGAGTGAACCAATTGGATGTTCGATTCTTACCCCATCCCAGCTTTTTGCATCAGGTAGTCATCTTTCCCACCCCGGAGCTCCTCCCCTAACTCCCCTAAATTTTAGAAGGGGAGTAATCCATCTCTCGATCCCTATGCACTCTGCCGCCGGTATCACGGACGCAGAGCACAAAAGGGCGCTGACACCCCTAACTACATCTTCACACTTTTTTCACTATTTTCCGTTTCCATTATTTCTATTTGGTCATTCTTCTCATTTGGACGCTTATTCTTTTCATCGCAATCACTTTAGGAGGAATGTCAAATGTTGGATAAAATGATGACACCATTCTGGCTTCGTCGTCATCATTACCCGAACGATCCCTACGCCCCCTACCACGTCCGTCATGGTATCAAGAGTCCCCGAGTAGACGACAAAGGCAAATTGGTGCGGGAGAGACCGAAAGTGAGTCTTACCGATTTCCATTATTTTCTGCCTTCGATTTATCCCGTCGATGATGTTTTGCTCGCGTTGTATACCAGTGTGTGAAAGACATTTTAATGAATGATGCCGCTCACTTCAAGCATTTTTATCTTTGACCTGAATGACCTTCATTACATTTTTTGTCTGACCTCAAAATTTCAACAAAGTTATTGAATAATGACAATCTATGAAGAAGATTCAAAATTGCTGTGTAAATTTTGTTTGTTTGTAAACAGTAATAAGGTTGCTTCCAGGTTCTTCTTGACGACACGACTGCTGACCGATACTTCCACGATAGATGAAACTTTTCGTATATGCATAGGTTTATATATTTCATTAATAGAGACTTTGGTTTGTCGTAAGATTTCTTACATCAGTTTTTGTTGTTTGTACATTTTTACTGAAAATGATTTACTTCTATTACTTCGGCTTTTTAGAAACTTGGTTTCTTTATTTGACCAGATAAACCTTATTGTTGTTCAAATGCGAAGTTGATACCTGAGTGAACTATTCTCCCTCGTATTAATAAGGAATCAAGCTTATGTTAGACGAGGCAAGTGAGTGCCAAGAGAACTCACAAACTCTATACCTATAATAACTAGTAATTTCAACCCTCAAATTTTTCAAATCAAATTGTAGAACGTAGCAATAGAGGCTTAGGATTATATAGTTACTATGCTCAGTTTCCTGATTGTTGCTAAGGATTTTTCCTGATGAATTCTTCAGCTCTAGTAACCACCTAGCTGCACCCAATAATGAAGTTTTGAACTTGAACAAAAGGGTATTCTGCTTCTGGAGTAAGCCTTATCGTACGTTTGAGAAGTAATTGTTTACAACGGTTGTAGCCGCTTGAAAAGTTATCAACGCTATCACTTTGAAATGGAATTCCCATTGAGTTCGACTTATCGCCATTTACCAAATGCTACTGCCGTGGTAGGGTGGTAGCTGCTACTCGCCTTTCTGTCAACTACTTCGCACCCAGTTTTCAATTAGTTTTTTGAAGAGATGGGAAGACGGAAAAAATCGGTAAGCTTTACGATGCTTTTCTTTCTGAAAACTTCATTACTGGATATTGATTACTTGACATTACTTCGCAGGGAGATGTAATTGTGCATAATTACAACGGTCTGCTTGAAGAAGTCCGACTTCTGTCAGATCTTCAGCCAGGAGGTGCTTTCCTGGAAGACAAAACACAAATGTCACCTACTACTCGAGAAGGAGGTGGGAAGTCGAAATCTCCTCACAAATCCGAACATGAAAGTGGCACCCCAGGAGGTAGGAAAGCGAGTGTACAGAAGATTCAATATCAGTATGTAGCATATTTTTGCTGCCTTCAAGTCGTTTGGCGAGGGCTATAAGTTTTCATGGAAGAACTTGTAGTCCCAATCTAGTTTTGAAAGAGAACAGCTGCCTGTATGATTGAGTTCCATATTTCAGCAGCGTCGAACGTCCGGAGGCATGCTAAATTGTCTCATTCGTGACGTTCCGCCGCCGTCTCCGCGACGCATGGGTCACGCGTGCGGTGATCGATACCTGTAGGTGTTGCGCCATGTCGAAATTGGATGTGTTCCGGGCGTTCGACTGTTTGGTTTAAGTTGTGGTGAGCGTTATAGAGGACTGGGTACCCAAAACCACTTCGGAAAGCAGATAATGGAATCACAAGCGAGTCTAGACAACGTTGCGTTTCAAAAGAAATGCGACCGCTCACATTCTGGAAGGTTTGCAGATGACTGATAGTGAGTCCAAATGGGCAATCATGGTAGATTGTGGTAGGCAATTATCAGTCGATAAGCGAACGTAAAACGAGCTTAATCATTCTCGGTGCTGAGATTATGCCTAAAACAAGGTGTCGATGATTGCGAACATGGCTCAAGCGGCGCGTGGCTACAGTGGCCAAGCGTTGGTGATTGCTATTTGCACATCGCGAACTGTGAACGCATACCACCGAATGATATAGCCGCAGAATGTGGCATGAATTCGATGCGCAGTGATTAGGGGAGCTATGGAATCTGCATGTTCGCAGAAAGATAGGATTTACGCTCGTGCTTCCGCATGTTAGCGTAGTAGCGCGCTTACCGGCTTTGCCCTTCACTATCCACGAGTGATGAAAAGGATAAGTGATAAGAATGCCTCAGTAATGTATTTCTGAAGCAAGTGATTAGGATTTTTTGAGTGTTTGGTGAGTTTAGAAGGAGTTCGTAGGAGCTTACATCCTCAAATTACATTTGTGGTTGTAGCTCGTTCCCACGTTGCCATTACTATTTGCTTAATGTTCATTAGGCTCATGGTCGCAGGGTTTTTTTGGAATAAAATTTCCGTCTACTTCTCATTTGATGTGTATGCTTACAGCTGGTATATTTCATTTGTTGAGGAGGAAACATCGCTCATTGTAGCAAAATCGAAAGAGGAAGAGGAGGAGCCCGTCATCGAGGATAATCCCATAAAAACTGCGATCGAGATTGAAAAATCTTATCACTGCTGCGAGAAAAAACATAGCGAAGATCTCAAACAGTCGGAACCGTCAAGCGACGAAGCGACAAAGAATAAGGCGAGCCGTTACTTCTTTCTTTAATTTGACCTTATCCGACCACAGATAGAAATCTCTGTTTGGTCGCGTAGACTGAAGCAGTCATTAGATGTTGAAACAAATTCACCCAATTTTGTTGTAGATGTCATAAGACCAATTAATAATGATGCAAGAGTTCGTAGAGTTCCATCTATTTACGATTGAACAGCCACAGCTATGTATTTAACAGGCACGGTAAATATACCGTACTTATTAATCAATGACCAGCTCTGAGTCATCTGAAGATGACTCCGAGCTGTCATAAAAACAGTACACTGGCTTTGCGCTGAAATATGCCCGTTCCGTCTGCGTTCCTCCAGTGAAAAGGGCTTACACGCATCCGACCGTGCTATACTTTATCGGCCAGAGCAGGGTACAAGCGTGAATATTAATTCTACCGCAGCTCGCAGACAATAGATCGCAAAGCGGACAAAACAAACGGACAAACGGGCATTCAAGTGAAATATGGCCATAGTATCGAGGTAGTTCTTTATATTGATCAGAAGATAAGTGGCTAAAGAAACAGATCTTTGAACCCAAGAATAGATGAAAAGTTATAAATGTTTCAGAAGGAGGGCAAGAAATCATTTCGAGCGAAAATCCGTAAGTTTTAAGGCTTCTCCTTGTAGTGAACGTTTATATTTACAATTTTGCTTACATAACTGAATAGCTTGAATTATGTTAATCAAGTATGACTGTCAGGTTGGTCAAATTTCTACTCTCTGAGTGAGAATCCTCGCGTAATTCAATACGATAAACGTCTACAGGGTGGGCCAAAATTATGATTACAGCGCGCGCTGACGTTCA